CGGTGCCCAACTTACCCTACTATACTACACAGTCTCCCAAATAATAAACAAATCGCGCATGCACGAAATTAAATATATATATATATAAATATATATTCATACACGTTTCATTAAATAATATAGACAAGTGTTGTCTATTTATTTTATGTAAATTTTTTCGTAACGTATGATAAGTCTAATAACATTATCGTTAAACAAAGAAAGAAATTCACAATATTGATCCATATTTTTTTTAATACAATCTAAGCTTTCGGCTTATATAAGCCAATATCAAAGATGTCAATTACAACATATTAAGCAATATACGGACAAGACAGTGATGATAGTCTCTCATTGTTTACATAGATGATTTCTAAGCAACGATAAACACGTGCATATAAGACGCTAGAAGCGAAAATCACACCGCATCTCATGACGTCACACGAGAGTGAATTGGAGAATGACTTCTGTTACCAATTATAGACATTTAAGAATATTTGTAGAGATGCCATAATTGATTTTGTTTAGGTTGGGTTTCAACTGTTTGATGTATATGTTAGAGTTACAGTATATATATATATATATATATATATATATATATATATATATATATATATATAACATTTGTCACTTAGCTGATTGATGTTACCTTCATCATCAATGGCCGGTGACTCGTTTCTGAGCACACAGGTCAGCTCAGACGGCTAGCCAATCCATTTTGCAGATGCCAGCTCAGGCACATTTGTATTTATTTAACACCTAGAGAGTTCACCTGTTGTTTGTACTGTAACTATGCTGAGCGCACTTTAGTTGCGAGAGAGAGTGCATAATATGGCGTGATTAACAGTTTGAACGCAGTCAGTACGCTCAAAGCCTCGGTCACGATGGCTCGTGACATCGTGCTACCACAATCATCAACGACTTTCGAACAGCTTCTTCTGCCCTATTTCACTCATAAGGCCTGGGACAAACAAGTGGTATGATTTCCCGACACTTCCAAACGGTGCGGAACGGATGTCGATAACGTGGAAACGTCACCTCTTAGACACATCGACTATGGTTTACCCGGGTTCGAATACATATAATACGATAGAGTAATAAATAGCAGTTCGAACTGAGAAATTGGAGAGCCGAGTTGTAATTCCAGTCGAGTTTGTTACATTCACTTTCTCAAATATCCTTGGAAAACATATGAATATATCGCTTTTCCCCCACTAGTAACGGGTAAATTGGTGGCAACCAGTCTAGAAGAAGGGTAATTCTCAATTCAAAACCCCAACTATGGGTTAAATAGCCGCAATTAGCCAAAAGTGGTGAGTACGGCTACACCCGTGAAGACGTGAGCAATCAGGGAAGAGTTCCCCCAACAGGAGTGAGGAGGTTTGGGATTTGGTGGCCAAATCAATTAATGAACTATTTTAAAACCTCTCTAAGATAATCGTTAATCTCAACCATTCAAAACTCACAAAGTACCTCACATCCAAGCAGTAAACCTCGTGCTTTGAACAGCGTCATCTTTCCATGAGCTTCCTGTGTTATGTTTTTTTGTCTCTTGTAAAGTTTAGAGACCAGTTTAAAAGACAGATTTTCGAATGGTCATTTTCAAGGTAGGTTGGCCCATGCCATTTACTGAACTGGTGCGAAGCGATACTTCTACGCGTTTATTCGTTAGTAGAATCCTCACCTTGTAAAATCTCCAATACCTACAAAGCATCAATATTTACATTTAAGAAATATATTGGTATGTATATATGCATAATATGTGACAGCACCAAACAATAAGTACGTAAACAATGTACACCTGCTCGACTCATGGAAAAATAAGCAAGCCGAAGAACCCGTTAGTAACTTTAAATAATATCGTCTTTGTATAGGTGCATAAGAGGTTTGGTCTTAGACCCGGATAAATGCCAGTTTAGTTTCAAGGTACCATTTTCTTGAAAGCGACTCGTTGCTGGTATCCAGACCACAAAACATGGATAACGTCACACATATTTCTTTTCAGCATTTAGAGAGGTAAAACGTACCTTAGTTTTATTTCAGATATGTGCCATTCGGAAAATTTGAATTTCGACTAGAGTATTTCCTCTTGACAGCTATTTCAGGCGTTTGTCTCTCTCTAACACTGAGCGCCTTCCACTGAAAGGAGCAGTTGGGGATGGTCTGGCTTTCATGTTCGACCCGACGCTCCTTTCTCATTGTGATGTCTCTCGTTAACACTTGCTACTCGATGTCCAATGATTGATTGAGCCACGAATAATGCATTAATTTTATCTGCCTGACCTTGGTAACATAAGTCTTTTGTTTTTCTTTTTTGTCATAACAGGTACTTGCTTATGAACTAGATTTCTGTTAAAGCGTCAAGAAATTAAACCTAATCATGACAGGTGTGAGAAGCGAAGGTAAACGGTTTAAAAGACTTGCCATTCTTCAACCTCAGGTCTTCATTTAGGCATTTGATGATTGCTTATATTGAAATAAGCGTTTCCCATAAGCGGATTGACGGAGTTAAGCAACGAAGTTTCTGGTTAGAATCGTATGAATCGTTGAGTGAGAAATATCAGAAGTCTTTTTTTTTTTTTTTCTTCGTGGTAGAATTTATTTCCCTGAACAATGAACTAAACCCAAAACTAGAATTAGCGATGTTTCAATTTTAAAATTAAATTTTAAAACTTCAGAAATTTATAAGAACGTTAAGTGTTTATATGCAATCCTACTCACGCGCACATTTCTCTATACGTTTATGTGTCTTTGTTTATACATACGCAATCACATAGATAGATAGATAGATAGATAGATAGATAGATAGAAATGATCACTTTACTGTGGCTGTCAGGTTAGCACATTAAACGAACACCAAATCATGCCCATATCTACAAAAGCTCTTCCACTATAATAGTAGTATATTTTATTAATATACATATATATACATATATATATATATTTGTGTGTGTGTGTGTGTGTGTGTGTAAATATAAATTCACACAACTTGTTTAGATTCAAAAAAATTAAGAAAATTAACATTCAGACTTGATAAATTGTTAAGTATATATATATATATATATATATATATATATGAATATAGTAAAACATTTCATTAGCAAAACGTTTCGTCATTTGGGTGTCTTTATCAGGTCAAATGTAAGGACGAAACGCGTTGGTAATGAAAGTGTTCCTTTTGTCTATATATATATATATATGCTATTATTTTAGTACCTATACTCTGGCACCATGAAAAACCCCGGATAATACAATACATATATATTTGAACAAACCGATATCGGAAAAACATCCGTCTTGGTCGAAAATAATCATTGAAGATCCGTTAGGTGAAAACTTATTAGTAGGTTCAGGCTCACTAGGTTATATATATATATATATATATATATATATATATATATATATATATATATATATATATATATATATAGCTAGATAAATAAATAGATAGATAGATAGATAGATATATAAAGAAAACATTTATATATATATATAACTTTCACACACGCACACATACACCCCCAACACACACACACACACACACACACACACACACATATATATATATATATATATATATATATATATATATATATATATATATATATATCTTATCCTACTCAGATAACATAATCCTGTGCATAGGCACGCAGATATTAAAAAGTGTAGGATCCCCGTCGACGCTCCACATCATAAGGTGGGTTACATTTTTTGAGCTCGAACAAGGCATGATAGTGTTGGGCATGTCAAATGAGATCATTTCCATTGAAATGTCCTATTTGATATTCCTCGATCACTGAGGGCCAAATAACTGAGAGAATGACGAGCGCGGCCCGGATAACCATTTTGTTCAATACAATACACTGAATACACAACAAATAAAGGCATCAAATATATTTATTTAGCAAAAAGTTATCAAAGAAAGCGAGAAAATAGTTATATCACACCCAGTGCGCACATATCCGAATCTCAATAACTTGTGAGTTCGTACTTAGTGAAATTTGCGAAAACTTGCGTTTAGCTTCTATATAATAAATTCAATTGTCAGTTTGTCAGTGCAACAATTTTCAACTCAAAGGGACACAACTCTCTACCTTTCAATAGCTCATATACAAACGAAAAAAAAATCTGTTCTCAAAATTACAGTGTTTCAACTTTACACATAGTGCCCATAACCCAACATATACCATTTTGGATTCAGGCTGACTCCGTGAACAAATTAAACACATTCCAGCAATCCTAAGAAAAACATTCCTGCAATCCTGAAATTTTGGATTCCCAAGTTTTCATTATGTCAATTGCTTTCGGCGAGTTTTTTACGTGGTTGTTTGCGACGAAATTTTTGGACGATAACAATTTTTATAACTTGGAAATAAATTTGGGAATAAACGAAATTATTTGCGAAAGTCACTCATGAAATAAAAATAATTGTTTGTCCGAAAAGTAATGATCTACGTACATCAAATTGTCGTTAAATTAAATGGCAGCAGAAGAATTATCGTTAAACTTTTAAAACGTAAGCATAAATATTAAGGCAATACTTAAATGCAGCGATCAATTTTGAGTTCTTCTGTAGTTTATTGTTGCCTATCAGATCTACCTATCTAGTGTGATGAAGGCCCAATCAAGACCTCTCCGCAGGAGCTCGCTTAAATGCAACACGAAAGGGTGGCTTTTAAGTTAGTTTAACATATAATCAATAATTTAGGATTACTGCATACAACTACGGGAATTGCTTTCAAATGTTCATCAGTCAACTTCGTTCGATGTTCTGACTTTACATACTTCATTTTTTTTAAATGCTTGTACGGCGTCACGTGCATCGCGTGCGTCGCCGGCGTACTGTGAATACCTGAATAAAATACATTACCACTCGCCGTAAATAGCGCAGTGGCCAACTCAGGGTCATCCATGATCGCAAATCATAGGCGTACTGGCGAGAATTTACTGTGGCAGAATAAGACCCATGTGTGCTACCCCGTTAATACAATGACAGCGGACGCAGCGGCTCAAATGGGATCATGTCATCGCAAATTGAATTGTGGAGAATTGACAACATATACACGCGCGTGCGCACTCAGACGCAGTGTCTGTCTGTGACGTCATATGTAACGGGAGTTCCCAAATAACCGTTGCACATGACGTTACCTTCGACTATTTCCATTTCAGTTCTCCAAATAATGCCAGCATACGGAATTTTGGAATAATGCCAGCATAAAGAATTTTGGCTACCGCACAGATATCACATTGATTCTTGAAAATGACTGAGGTGGTCGAAAGTACTTGAACACCACAAATTAGTTTATATATATATATATATATATATATATATATATATATATATATATATATAAAAAGTTTAATTAAAACAAGTGACAAGGTATAGCGACATCATTAAGCTTTTATTCAATTTTTCTTGTCTTCGTATAAGTGTTTTCTTTTCTGGATATAAAGTGGGTAAAACCTATCCGAATGTTCTATATATCGGCTTTCGGCTATTCTGCCAACTGTTACAGAGCCTTTTTTTTTTAATACACACACACACACACACACACACACACACACACACACACACACATATATATATATATATATATATATATATATGTGTGTGTGTGTGTATCTATAGTGAGAGGAATATTTTTATTTCTTAAACACGGTCAGCACGTTATGGCCGTATTCATAGTTCATGTTGTTCAGTGTTGGATTTTTCGTTTTTATTATTAATGCTTCCATTATTTGTAGATGAGGCTAGTATAGTTGCATTTTCTACGAGTATGTTGACGAACTTTGGTAGGTTTCCGTTTGTGTTTAAACAGGTCCTAATTGAGCTATAGTCAGAGAGATGTAAGGTTAGTCTTCTTGATAGGCATGTAGTGGTATGTCCAATTCATGAATTTGGTTTGATCAGGAATGCAGTTCTTTACGGGATCTGTAAGTTTATAAATAATATTGATTCTCAGTAATTTGGATCTTGCAGATGAATTGTTGCTGTTGATGATGAGGTTACTCGTTTTCAATCTTTTGTCGTAAATAATTGATTTAATTTTCTTGCGCTGGTTCATTGCGGTTCTGCATTTCCTTTACAATGATTTTCTGGGAAAATTAATCCTGCTTATATCTAATGTTTAATTGATATTTTTTAGAAAATGTTAATGTTATTGTTTCTATCTGCATGTTCAGTGCTGGTATTGGCTGCTTTAGTAATAAACAGCATAATTTGGTGATATATAAAGTAGTGCGGAATATATATATATATATATATATATATATATATATATATATATATATATGTTCAGCGCAGCAATTTGCTACTATAGTAATAAACAGCATATTTTGGTGATATATAAGATAGTAGGAATATATATATATATATATATATATATATATATATATATATATATATATATGTGTGTGTGTGTGTGTGTGTGTGTGTGTGTGTGTGTGTGTGTGTGTGGAGTCACGGTAGAGTAATGGATAAAGGCTTGGATTGAGGAATCGGGTTCGAATTCTAGTCGAATCCATGACATTCATTACGTGGGAAAACGTATGAATCCTTTTCTTCTCCCTTCAACTATGGATATATAGCAGGACAAACTGGGTTCTATAGCCTTGGATAGCAACTGGTCTAGGAGAAGGACAACTCTGTATTCAAAATCTGTGTAATGTCGTTTGGGGACTTTGTGGCACGTTGTGCACCCGGTCCCTGTATTCGGCCCTTCAAAAAGTGTGGATGGTTCGGCACAAAAACTTTACCCATACAATCAAATCCCATGTGCTGGTATCGGGCTGTCGGTTCCTAGGAATTGAGTTGCTTGACCCTTATACGTCGAATACGACGGGGTAGTCGAATATATATACACACACACACACATATATATATATTTTAAGCATTTCACCCCAAACAAGGCGGGAAGCCACTAGGACGCAAGGGGTTACAGAAAATTTAGAGCAAGATCAGATAGGAGTGATAGAAGAAAGGATGAGGGTAGTGGATAGATCAAGGCAACTGGAGATGTCGATTGACATTACACTTGAATAGCTGGAGATTATAGCTAACAGGGAAACAGGAAAAGGGAAGGGAGTTCCACAGGCGAGAGGTGCGGGACATGAAGCTATTAGAGTAGAAGAGACGGCTACATTTAGGAGTTTCGACAGTGAAGGGGTGAGAGCGGGATGCCAGCCTCGTAAGGCGCTGGAACTCAAGACGTCTGGGAACCAGCGAATGCAGCTCCTCGGAGCAATTTCCATGAAAGTATTTGTAGAACAGACAGAGGGAGGCGACGGCGTGTCTGTGAGAAAGTGACTGTAGACGAGACGCCAGGGCAGGGCCAACTAAATTGCATATCCGCCTCTGGAGCCTATCAAGAACCCCGAGGCAAACAGAAGGGGCACCAGACCATATATGGCAGCAATACTCCATGCAAGGGCGAATTGTGGACTTGTAGATCTGGAGGATCGACTCCGGGGAGAAAAACTTCCTAGCGCGGCTCAGGGAGCCAACTTTCCTTGCAGTGGACGAGGCAATTGACTCAATGTATTTATTCCATCTCAGGCCAGCAGACAACGTGAGACCGAGAAGCCGCAGAGAGTTGCTCTCGAGAAGTTGAGCGTCAGACATTCTAATGGAGGGAAGAGAAGGATCTCTGTGGTGATTAATAGACAGCAGTTTTGTCTTAGAAGCGTTGAAGTTGACCAGCCAACTCATGCCCCAGTTCACAATCGATTGAAGGTCCTTTTCGAGACGCACGGCCAAGTGAGTTTTGTCAACGAGACTAGATTTGTTTTTGAGGCAGGAATAAATTGTGGTGTCATCCGCGTAGATGCCAACTTGGGAAGTTATTGCGTCAGGAAGGTCATTTATGTAGATAAGGAACAGAGTGGGACCTAGGATGGAGCCTTGAGGAACACCTGCGTTCGTGGGATAGGAACTAGAGGAGAATCCATTGAGAACGACCTTCAATTTACGGTTTGACAGGAATGATCGCATTAGGTTATAGAATCGTCCCGTAATGCCATAACCCTTGAGCTTGCGAAGAAGGCCGGCATGCCAAACCCTATCAAACGCTTTGAAGATGTATAGTGCCACGGCTCGGGCTTCCCCGTTATTTTGGAGAGCTCGGTAGGCTGTTTCAGTGATGGCTGTAAGCACATCGGCTCTAGATCGGGCAAAGCGGAAACCATATAGCTTTTCTGAGAGCAGATTATGGGATGTGAGGTGGTTAACCACCCCGGTATTTATAGGGCTTCGAAGACTTTGCCGAAGAGGGGAAGGAGACTGATAGGACGGTAGTTGGAAGGGTCAGAGGGGTCGCCGGAGTTCTTGAAGACAGGAACGATCGAAGAGGACTTCTAGCAGTCAGGAAAACAAGATTCCTTGAGGCAGTAGTTGTATATATATATATATATATATATATATATATATATATATATATATATATATATATATATATGTGTGTGTGTGTGTGTGAGTGTGTGTGTGAGAGAGAGAGAGAGAGAGAGAGAGGTTATAACACTGTGGGATGATTTGTACATTAACGACCTCACCAGTGCATTACTATTAGTTTATTGCAAGAGTTCATGACTGATTAGAAAACTGAAAACAATGAAAATCACCCATGAATATCTGCATTGATCTGATAGAATCGTATATGGCACTGTTTTAACTGTACCGCATACGATTACAGAAATACACTGGTAGGGTTGTTAACGCAAAGAATAATACTAAATAACTGAACTTCTCTCCATTAATCATCTGAGGGATCCCTTCCATCAGTACGGCTGACTTGTCAGCTGTTAAGAAAGTTGATTCACTGTGTCGTGCTAGATAATTTTTCTCTCCAAAATCTATTTAACATATCTATAAGTCTACCATTCCTCCATGCTTAGAATCTTGATGCCGCCGCATATGGTCCGGTGTTTCCGTTATTTATCTAGAGCCCCTTGATGAAATCCAAAGAAGAATCAGCAATATTATTGGCCCTGTTCTGGCGTCTTGCCTGCAGTCTCTTTCCAATTACCGTAAGGTGGTGCCTTTTCTATAAATACTTTCATGGTAATTTTTCAAATGATCTATTCGTATGACACCCAGACTCTTTGAATTTAAGCACAATACTAGACTGGCAACGAGGTCTGATCAATTTACAGTTGAGTTGGCTAGATGTACCCGTAAGTTCTATGCTAACAGTTTCTTTTCTCGTACTTCTCTCTTGTGGAACTCCCTTTTCACCGCATGCTTTCTTATCAAATTTAAGCTGCAAAAATTTAAGTGTAATGCCAATCGCTATCTACTGTCCCCATGATTCTTCTTCTTTTGTTATCGCTCCTTCCCAATGTTTTGTTTCTAATTCTTCACACCCAGTAACCTATTGTGTCTCAGTGGCTTTAATGCCTTGCATGGGATGAAGTCGATTCAAAAAAATAGGATGATATGGCCTTTGATACATAATTATACATAACAGTTGCTCAGTCTCAGTTCGAAGACATCTACCAATCAAGCTGCAATAGATGAGGCGATTCTCCAATACAACCCCCGAAAAGCAGATGCTATCTTTTCAACTGTTTATCGTAATTCAGACCTTCCCTAAAATTATGTTGTCTCTCAGCATCAGACAGGCTGACAAGAATACAAGAAGAAGTCAAGATTATCGGAAGCTGCACTATGCTACGCACAATTCAAGGAGGCTGAACTGACGAGTTCGTTAATACCATAAACATATCACAATGATATGACTTTTACCATTGCTTGCAGTAACGAATGTTTCCAAGCGCCCCTCCCCTATCTAAATAGTGAATAAGTTCTACGCTGGTTAACTTCGGTGATCGAAAGGGGAAACAGGTGTTTTCTATAGGGAAGGACAATTTCAAATCAGTTTACATAATAAATAACGTATTTTCGGAGAAAAGTCATTAACGTCTTTTTAAGAAAAATATGACATCTGTTAATAAATTCAGACGGGTGGATGTAATCTCCAACTGCAAAAGTTGTAATGAAATAAATAAACATTTAACTTTATTTTTACCTAGTAATGGCCAGTCTAGTGATACTGAGCCCTATAATTACAGAAAATGGTTGTCATGAAAATATTACGTTCCAGAAATACCCAGAAGGCGACCGGGGCGTGACATAGTCATGCATATACCAGGTATAACAGCAAAATTGTCCAAATTGGATAACAGCGTGGAATAATTGCCCACCCCACCAAATGTTTAATATTTAAAAAAAAACACTATACCAATTTAGTTTCTTTTCGTGCATCTTTCAGATAAGACGTTTATCCATCTGGACACCATTTTTCGTAAGAATCACTGGAAAACCCTTTGAGTTATTCAGCTAGAAAGAGACCATGTTAAAATCGTGGAAAATGGCGAACAATAACTGAACAGTATTAAATAAACATTAGAATCAGACGATATCCCTAGATATGGGCAGTGAAACAAGAACAGTCTACCCCCGTAGATTAAGTAAAAGCTTCAGTTATGTATTCGCTATAGGTTACCCAGATCGATATAGACCTGCGGAAAGCCAGAGTACATAACGACCGAAATGATGTGATTATAACAACGAAGATGAGGAGAATAGTCCGAATATAAATAGTGTAAATAATTATAACTCTTCATCCCAGAAATTCAGAAAAAAATTATGCATATATATATATATATATATATAATTAAATATACCTTGATTTATTGATTACACAGTAATCTATCAGACTTTCCTTTTCTCTTTTTCTCCCTGTCTCTCTTTTCTGTCTGTCTTATTTCTTTTTTTCTCTCTCTCTCTTTCTCTCTTTTTGTCTGCCTTAATCTCTGGCTATTTTTTCTCGTTCAGTTTCTGTCTGTGTCTGACTATTTCTTTCTCTCTCTTTCTCTGTCTGTCTTACTCTATCTCTGGCTATTTCTTTCTTTCTTTCTTTCTTTCTCTCTTTCTGTCTGTCTTACACTATCTCTGGCCATTTCTTTCTCTCTCTCTCTCTCTTTTTCTGTCTATCTTACTTTATCTCTGGCCATTACTTTCTCTCTCTCCCTCTCTTTCTGTCTGCATTACACTATCTCTGGCCATTTCTTTCTCTCTCTCTCTCTCTTTCTCTCTCTCTCTCTCTTTCTGTCTATCTTACTTTATCTCTTTTCTCTCTCTCCCTCTCTTTCTGTCTGCATTACGCTATCTCTGGCCATTTCTTTCTCTCACTCTCTCGCTCTCTTTCTCTCTCTCTCTCTTTCTGTCTATCTTACTTTATCTCTGGCCATTACTTTCTCTCTCCCTCTCTTTCTGTCTGCATTACGCTATCTCTGGCCATTTCTTTTCTCTCTCTCTCTCTCTTTCTCTCTCTCTCTTTCTCTCTTCTCTCTAGCCTTTCTTTTCTATCTTCTCTTTCTGTCTATCTCTGGCCATTTCTTTCTCTCTCTCTCCTCTCTCTTCTGTCTGCATTACTTTATCTCTGCCATTTCTTTCTCTCTCTCCCTCTTTCTGTCTCTATCTCATTTCTTTCTCTCTCTCTCTCTCTCTCTTTCTGTCTATATTACTTTATCTCTGGCCATTTCTTTCTCTCTCTCCCTCTCTTTCTGTCTGCATTACGCTATCTCTGGCCATTTCTTTCTCTCACTCTCTCTCTCTCTCTTTCTCTCTCTCTCTCTCTTTCTCTCTCTCTCTCTCTTTCTGTCTATCTTACTTTATCTCTGGCCATTTCTTTCTCTCTCTCCCTCTCTTTCTGTCTGCATTACGCTATCTCTGGCCATTTCTTTCTCTCACTCTCTCTCTCTCTTTCTCTCTCTCTCTCTTTCTGTCTATCTTACTTTATCTCTGGCCATTTCTTTCTCTCTCTCCCTCTCTTTCTGTCTGCATTACGCTATCTTTGGCCATTTCTTTCTCTCACTCTCTCTCTCTTTCTCTCTCTCTCTCTCTCTCCATCTTTATCTCTGGATGTTTTTCCTCTCTCTTTCTGTCTGTTTTACTCTGTCTCTCACTATTTATCTCTCTCTCTCTTTCTGTCTGTCTAACCCTATCTCTGGCTCTTTCTTTTCCTCTCTCTTTTTCTGACAGTCTTACTCTGTCTTTGACTATTTCTTTTTCTCTCTCTTTTTGTCTGTCTTATTCTCTCTCTCTCTCTCTCTCTCTCTCTGGCTATTCTTTATTTCTCTCACACCACATATTTCTCTTTTGCTCTCGCACACACACACACACACACACACACACACACACACACACACACACACACACACACACACACACACATATATATATATATATATATATATATGTATGTATGTATGTTCGCGCGTGCGTGTGGAATCCGTATTTATGCACCTACATAAGTGGGTGGGGAGCTAAATGTAGTTCGCAATGAAATCGTCTCCAAACAAAACACTCTTGGACAAATTTGATTTAAAAAATCTTTGTGCGCTGCAAAAAGTGCCAAACACCTAAATGCAAATCGACGAACAATAAGACGGACAGCCGATCCACCTCTCTTTCTCTCTCCCTCACTCCCTTCTTTCTCTTCTCCTCTTTACCGCCCCGCCCTGTTCTATCTTTCAGCCATACCATCCAACCATTCAGCCATCCCGAATTACACAATTCTGTCCATCGAGTCAGCCATCCATTACGATGGAATCGTGCCAGTCAGCCATAAGCATTTGTGACGCGCTTTCTTCTTTTTGTTTTTGTTGTTGTTATTGCCTGCCAAAAAGTGTATGGTTTTTTTTTTGTCTTTATCTTCACAATAAAAAAACAAAAAACAAATTTCTCTTTTTTGCTTTTGTCTTGAAATTTGTTTTATTTAATTCTGTGCGTCGTATTTCCCGACTTTTGGATTCTTAACTTATTTGTTTGAGATTTAATTTGATTTTGGCGAAAATTTATTCGCTTTTATCTTGAAAATTATCTCCGACTGTGAAAGAAAGCATCGATATGCCGGTGCTAAAACTATTGTTTCTCTTGTGTTATTTATTTATTTTTAAAACCCTGTTTATTATTTGTTAGGGAATCAAAGTTGGAAGTCATTTTATTTCGACGTAATTTTCCGTTTCCCTTCTTCTTAATAATTTATACCGTGTTTTGTTTTTTTTTAATTGAACCAGTTAATTAACAACGAGCGACATTCAAGTACTTATTAACTATATTTATCTATCACCATTTGAGATACTGCCGAAATATCATCTCTCATATGGTTAATTGAATTAAGTAAATCCATAACCTAATATTACTTTATAAAACCCGGTCTCAATACTCGAATATCTCTTTTTCTTGATTCAAGTGTAAAAGATTAAATCTAAGCAACAGTGGACAGCGTTAAAAAAAAACAAACCTTACCCACATAAACTGGGTTTGAATACAGTCGACGCTAAATTACAACCATGTTAATTATTTACAACTATCTCCATCCTTCCTGGGTATGACGATAAACTACATCCGGGTCCTGGGTATGACGATAAACTACATCCGGGTCCTGGGTAAGACGATAAACTACGTTCGCCAGCAAGGCCACTTATCAGAAGGTTTTGAGGAGCATGGAACCACCTCTTAATTGCGGGTGTTCCCAGGTCCACCCTAACCCAGGGTGGTAGCACCTGTTAGAGTCCCAGCTATGACAGTCTAAAGAGCAGTGATAAAAACTGAAAATGAAATCGTACGGGAAACGTGTGAGACACCAGGTCAGAAAGTTAGAAGGTTAGAGGCGAAGATCATCTTGAATGTAGAAAATGATCCTGGAACAATATATATATATATATATATATATATATATATATATATATATATATATATATGAACTATATTTTAATTCTTCGTGAGCTTCCGATCATTAGCTATGACTAATTAATGATGAACATGTCATTTTCGTTTATGATCGATTTCTTCACGATACTTCTGCTAAGCTTGGAGAGTAATTTTACATTCTTATTACACAAAGTAGATTACAACAGGGTTATAAAAACCTCGGAGAATTCCAGTAAGATATCTTTAATCATTTCTAAGATACAACGGTTCAAAGGTCAATCTGAAAATTGGCCAATTTTGCTGTTACACGATTTGAACAATTTCGTTGTTACACTCAGTATACAGACCCGGGAACAGAAATAAACTTCCATGGAAAAATACTTAACAAGCTCTTCCTTAAACCGTTACTAATGTAGTCAGATCTAACCTCTAAGGTGTTCTCCGACGGTGCCTTTTTGGCAGCATAAAAAATGTAGTTAATATCTATGTAATAATTAATCTCACTGTGTGTGTTTATTTTGTGTATGCGTGTGTATGTATGTGTGTGTAGTTAATAGTTAACTCTTCAAATTGGAGTAAAATACTATGAAAGTGTAAAAATAGGTTTTAATAAAAGAAATACTTTGTAAAAATTATTACCAATAAAGCATTATTGAAAAAAATATTACCAACAATACATTTTTGAAGGAAAAATATTACCAGCAATAAAAATTATCAGCATTAAATAACCTATTGTGGTTGATATGCTGTAAAACAAACCAAACCAAACTCTATCTCCATGGGGTTAGTATTTTTGAGTTGCTATATACGTGCTTGCTAGAATAAATGAAAGTTTTGATGTATTGGTGTAATAAATCCTACACCTTTTTTCACAGGTTATAGAAACAGGTATTTAATTGTAATAAACAATAATTAAAAGAATGTCATGTGGATAGAAAGGAAAGTTTTGGTATTTGGGATTCTCAGTCAACATTACGATGGCGCGAGGCGGGAACTGAACAAAAAGTGCCATATAAGGAGAAACAATCTATACAGAACTTTCAATAACGTTTTATTTATTTAACTTGTAGATAAGTAAAAACGTTAATATTAAAAGAGCAGTTAAAAAGAACAATATCTTAAATATGTCGAAAACACAGTCACCACCGTCCAATCCGCATTCGCCGACAATGGTCCCGCCATTTTGACGATGAGGACTTTCGCGCCAAATCGAAGCGTTTTGCTTTGTCTGGCAACGAACAAAACAATTCTAAACAAAGTATTAAAACAAATGCACGCCTGTCATGTTGAATGCTAATCGATCTGTCGGTGATGACAGTTGTTCGGCGCCTAACACCTCCTTCAGTTGGGTACGGGAAGGAGAAATGAAGACGTCGTGAATTATATGGAGTTGGTTGTGGTTTGAGTGGTGAGAGAATGTGGCGTGAAGTGGAATTACTGACGAAGAGGGAGACATTGGCTGCCATCTGTTGTGCCCGAGAGTCTTGAAATAAAACCAGTGGAACTGAAAGTCTTTCTGTTTCTTTTTTCGTCTTTATTCCTTCCCAATCTCTCCCACCCTCTCACCTTTTTCTTTTATTTCAATTCCTTCAGGTTTCTTCCAAATTTTTCTATACCTTATTCTTATTTATATATATATATATATGTGTGTGTGTGTGTGTGTGTGTGTGTGTGTGTGTGTGTGTGTGTATACATCTATACATCTATATATATATATATATATATATATATATATATATTTCTAAAGAATCAATGGATTTTATTTTTATTACTTCAAACGGAGGGCACATTTTTTTTATTAAGTTTTCTCAAGTGAGAAGGGCGGAATACGAAATGAAAAGTTTGAAAAAAAAAAAATAAAACGGACCATTTAACTCAAATATGATTATCCGCTAAAAACAGCATTTGAAGTAATTTTATATATATATATAATATATATATATATATATATATATATATATATATATGTGTGTGTGTGTGTGTGTGTGTGTGTGTGTGTCCCTACACACACACACACATCTATATATTCTAACTCTATCTATCTCTCACTCTCTCTATATATTGTTATATGTTAATATATAGTTATATATATATATATATATATATATATATATATATATATATATATATATATATATATATATGTGGCAGCAATCCTTCGTTTATGCATGTTGCATTAAAAACGACAGACAAGGTACTACGGTTAAGCTTTTTATTTAATTTTTCATGTGTTCGAACAAGAGCTTTCTTTTCTGGACAAAGAGTGTGTAAAAACTGCCCAAATGTTTTATAGTTCCGAGAGCTTTCGGCTATACCTTTAGCCATTATCAAAGATGATTCAATTTTTCAGCTTAATTGGGTGTGTGCATTATGTGTATGTTTTAGTGTGTTGTAGTGATGTTTTTAATTTCCGAATACGGTTAGGTCATTGTGGCCTTGTTCGTAGATAATATTGTTAAGAGTTGGCTTTTTCTTTTTTATTATTAAAGTTTTCATTATTTTTAATCTTTTTTTACAAGTGGATCCAGTTAATATATTTCTGTTTTCTACGAGTATGTTTCGAATGGAGTCTGGTAAATTTGTGTGTGTGTTTAAATGGGTTCTAATGAAGCTATGATCAGATAGGTATAATGTAAAGCGTCTGGATAAGCATGTGGTTGTGTAACCGATGTAATTATTTATGAGTCCGGTTTGATCAGGAACACAGTTCCTTAAGGGGCATTTGAACTCATAGATAATATTCGTTCTTTGTAATTTTGACTTAACTGGTGTGTTGTTATTTTTGAGGTTTGCTGTCTTGAATTTTTTATAATAGATAATTAATTTGATTTTTTTTTATTCAGATCAATTGGGGTAGTGTATTTCTTTATAATATGTCTAAGTGAAGATTCGTCTTGTTTGTAGTTAATGTGCATTTGGTTTTTGTAAGAAATGTTTATGTAATTTTTGAATGTGTGTTCACTATCGTTATTATTTACTTTGGGGAGAAATAGTCTAATTTGGTGGTCTGTAAGGTGGTTAAGGAAGCCATTGTTGATTAGTGTTTGTTTTACATTATTAAGTTCTTTGAGGAAGTTTATTCGAGATGATGAATTCTAGTGGGCTCTTTTTAGGAAGATTTTTTGTTACTGCTATTTTGTACCTAAGTGGGCATTCGCTTTTAAAGTTAAGGTGGCAAGATTTTTTGCTAGTGGGTTTTTTTATATAATAAGGTGATAAAAGTGTTATTGCTATATTCTACGAGAACATCTAAGAAGTTTTTTTTTTTTTTTGTCTAAGTTCATAGGTAAAGTTGAGGACGGAGTTTTTCTCAAATGTGGTCTTAAGTGTTTCTATTTCTTTAATGCTTTTAGTTAAAATAAAAATATCATCTACGTAGTGGACGTATATTTTAGGTTTACAGACCTGTGTAAATAGCGTATTTTCTACATGGGACATGTAATAGTTGGAAAAGCATGGACCGAGTGAATATACCACACTAACACCATTACTTTGGATGTACATGTGGCTATTATGGTCATAGAATGGAACTTTGGTTGTGCATGCGCATGTAGTAATTTTTTTTTTAGTATAAATGCATTGATGGATGGTGAAGGGATAGAATTATTAGTATACACAGAATTGGGGATAATGTCAATAGTTTGATCGACGGGTACGTTTGTAAATAAGTTTTCGACGTCAAGTGATGCTATTATATCCTGGTTTGGTTAAGTAGTTTTTAAAATTTGGAGGAATTCGTGGGTAGATGTGATGCTGTAATTGGTATGTAGGTATGTAGTGATGATGTCGTTCAAGAATTTTGAGAGCTCGTGTTGGGATCTAGAAAATAATTAGTCGTAGCTGATATCCAGGTTTATGGGTTTTTATATTTGCATATAAATATCCAAGTTGGTAGTCTTCAACGATTTTTTGACTATTCAGGGAACCGACTTCCGCGTTGTGGGCTCTTACTAGTTTGTTGACGGACCTTTTTTTGAGATTTCTTTTCAGTTTAGTGAATTTAGTTCGGTATATATATATATATACGCATAAACATAAAAATGTCTTAAAATAATTGTCGGATTTGTTCATTTCATTATATATAATGAAATGAACAAATCCGACAATTATTTTAAGACATTTTTATGTTCATGCGTTCTTTTTATAGATACAAATATTTAAGTAAATGCTCTGTTTTATAATAAACAGTATTATAACATTTACCTGAATGTCCGATAAATTTTCATAGAAAATATGCGCCCTCAGACAGGAATCGAACCTGTATCCTACACGGAACCGTCATTTAGCCTGACGTGCCTTAACCGATCGAGCCACGGAGAATCGTTCCACTAGCTAGGTTGATTTTACTGTTTTTAAACTTCAATTTTCCATTAATCTCTCACGTAGATTCATATCTGCTCAAAGCGTATCCAAATGTAAACAAATGATGTCACATATTATGAAATGGACAAAGTCCGACAATTATTTTAAGACATCTATAAAAAGAATGTATAAACATAAAAATGTCTTAAAATAATTGTGTCTGACACGAAACAATTTTAACCTGTTCTCTTTCTAGCTGAATAACTCAAAGGGTTTTTCAGTGTTTCTTACGAAAAATGGTGTCAAAATGGCTAGCCGTTTTATCTGAAAACTTGAAATAGTAAGAGACTCAATTAGTTTATTCGTTTTTTAATATTAAACATTTTCCGGGATGGGTAATTATCCTGTAAACGATTTGGACAATTTTACTTTTACAATGGGTAAAACAAGTCGTCATTACTAAGATACAAATTCAAATTCCATCGAAGATCGAAACTGTCTAACAAATTTATTAGTCTATGCTTTGAATATTACTGCCATATCTGGTCTGGTCCTCCTGCTATACATTTAGAAATTCTTAATAAAATCTTAAAAGAATCTGCAATGTTATTGTTCTTTAACTGGCATCTCGGCTTCAGTCACTTTCCCACTTCCATAACGTAGCTTCTCTGTGCCTTTTCTATAAATAATTTCATGGTAATTGTTTTGATAAGCTTTCCGCTATGGTACCTAACTTTATGAATTTAAGCTCAGTATGAGATTGGCGGCAAGGTCTCATCATTTTACAGTTTAAATGGCTACATGTAACACGTTTTCTTATTTGTAAAAGGATTTTCATATCTTTTAATACCATGCTTATGCGAGATGATATTACCAACTATTACTTTACGACGAGAGGCTTTAGTATTTACTTAGTTTAGGTCAGGTTGGCCCAACGCTATTTATGTGTAAGTCTGAGAGATTAGCATGCCAACCATTCTTTTACGAGATGTCGTCCAAAGATCTTTTCATTCTAATTTTCTGTTATGTCTTGTAACGCGAGCTTTTTCTGCATTTTACCAATTTCCCTACATAGAAAGAAAGAAACTTTTAATTATTATAAACCCATTGGCCTACAGCGATTTACTAAATGTAGGTTAGTTATGGCACAAGGTCGCAAGTATGGGGCCCCCAGTAAGTATCAAATCTAATCAAACGTCACAAAGATTACACCACATCTATATAGCAGATTCATGGCCACATCACGTTGAAACACCGGTTCCGATACGATCAGCGAAGTTAAGCAACATCGAGGCTTGTCAGTACCTAGATGAGTGACCGCTTGAGAATACAAGGTGCTGCAAGCTTGGACGTGCTGGTAGTGTAATGGATAACGACTCAGAATTGTTAATCGGAGAGCCGAGTTCCAATTCCCGTTGGATTCATTATATTCACTTACGTGCAAATATAAATGGAACCCACCTCTTCTCCCCCGACTATGGGTTAATTAGTAAGACTTAATGACTAAGCAATTAATATCTTAGAAAAAAGATTCTTATAACCTAAAAATATTTTCTGATTTTAAAAACCTGCAAAGTTTTGATAAGCCGTAGAAAATGAATCAGCCAACGAACGTCCAAATTGTCATCTCTCATCTCCTGGGACCTTTCTTTTTTTTTTATTTACAAGTCCTAATTTAATTGTTCTCATATACTCATTGCCTCTTGGTCTCTCTCTCTCTCTCTCTCTCTCTTTCTCTCTCTTTCATTATCTTCTCCCGTTTCAGATCAATGACTCTTCATCGAAACTCTTCCTACTATTTTCTCTTATGTCACATTATTTCGCCACACCCTTTTCTTTATCGTATTTTTCTAACTCTTTTTTTTTCTTTATCTCTTTTAGTCTTTTTTTCTTTCTTTTATTCCTTTTCTCTTCTTTTTTTTTTTTGCCGATTTTATAAAAAATAAATGATCCAATGAAACTGTTTCAATTTTCAGCAATCCATCGCTTCCGTGAACGAATCAGAAAATTCCGATGCATCTCTACTTAAAATTTCTTCCTTTTCCATTTGATACAATAATGCAATCACACACCCGAAGGAGTTCAGTGCGCGTCTAATTAAATATATTCCACTACAAATACAATCTGGTTCTTCGATTGAACACAGTTCATCTCATTTATTCATAAGATGGCACGAGTTGGAGTATTTAGCCTCTACTAGTGGAAAAATTGTCGTAATATGGGGAAGGTGGTAAAATAGGGGTATGGCTCATCAATTAAAATATGCTCTTGTAAAATCAAGTAAGAATTTATTTTCTTATATAAATTTGAACATGAAAAACGGTTGGATCTAAAAAGTCCTCTAAGATCTTTAGTTCCTCTAATGTTTCACACTTGTTTTATATTTTTAAAAATCGAAACTTATAGGAAAGTATGTTCATATATGTGAACTAAATAGTAAAAGAAAAGATTCTGCCAAAAAACGAAGTATAAATATTTGGAATTTCGTAGAATAAAGACATATACACACACATACACACACATGCACACACATACACACACATACACACACATACACACACACACACACACATACACACACATGGATGTTAGGGTGGTGCAGTGGATAAAAGCTTCGAATGCGAAATCAGAGATTTCAAATTCCTGTCAGTTTCGTTACATGCTTTTACGTCCAAATAGGTTTTGAAAAGGTATGAATCAATCTCCTTCTCTAAGCTATGGATTAAATAGTAGGTATTGCATCGGGGAAAAATCATTGTTACTCTCAAAAATTGTTAATCGCAAAAAATAATTCTTCTTACAATTCGTTTCGGGTTTAAATAGCGCACAAAGGGTTGACAAGACGTAAAAAAAACACTAGTACTCACATATACACATGTAAGAATGAATGCAAACATACACGTGCGCACATACATGCGCTAAAATCAAGCAAAAGAGACGTGAACAAAACAAGCAATAAAAAGGAGAGCACTTTTTTCAGATAAACATTTCGTTTAGATAACCTATTTTCAGGCTTTGTTAAATTGTGTCATTTTTATGCGTTTTTTATCTTTTCATTTTAACTTGCGTTTCGTTTTACTCAGGAACCCCCAGAGAGTTTCCTTGTCAAATTATATTTCTTGTCCAAACAAAGCATTTTTCTACATGAATGAACATCACTGGGGAGCGAGACAGGTTAAAGTCTGAAGATATTGTTAGACAATGACTAAACCTCGCCGAATTTGACGCAGAAGTCTAATATGAGAAAAGAAGAACAAAAAAGGCAGCTTTGTAGCAATTTTCCAAATGAGGAGGATCATCGGTTCTTGAAAATTGGTATTCAAAATTATGGCTTTTAGTTGGGTTCGAAACAAATTATTGAATATAGGGTAATTATTTAAGTGATTCTGTAATTTGCTCTCTTTTTTTACCACAGGTTCACACAATACAAGACACAAGAGCCATTCAGTTTGAGGGTTACTAGATGACGTTGTTGTTTGGATGCAAAAGGAATAACATACTACTGGGTATGACGTTAAACTACATCCGACAGCAATGCCTCTGATCGAGAGATTGAAGTTTTTAAGGCGCGTGAAACACCTCTTAATAGCTGTTCTTCGCAGGTCTACCTTGACCGGCGGTGGTAGCACCTGTTAGCGCAAATAGTGAAACCCAAACAAAAACAAAACACTATGAAAGTTGTTATATACCGTACTTATGAACACTAATAGGTATGTCCCAAACCTCATAAATACTTTGGACACTATTGTAAGTGAGGGTAATATGATGTCTAAGTAGTTCACCATTAGCAGTAGTTTACCTACTCCTCGACGTTGGCGAGTATTGTATTTTGTTGATGTTACCATTTCATTTCCAACTTCCGATTGGTTATTTCTCATTCAATAACCCTCTCTAGGTTACAACGGGAAACACAAAGAACTTTTAGACAAAGTAGTAAAGAAAGGCAAACAGAAAGTACAGATAATTTTAAGAAGACAGGATGCATGGTCGTCTTCATTTTGGTTATTCCACATTTACTAACCGGAGCACCTTCCACAAAGTAGCAGTTCCCAAAAATAAGCCATCTGTTTTGAACTTTTTTAGAACGCAATACGAAGGGAATATGGATGATTTGAGCCTGTGTACATGGTGTGTCATGCTTAGTTGTAAAAGTCTGAATTGGTGGAACAAAGGAATATCGCTCTTCTGATCAATTGCCATTAAAATAACAACAGAGCAGTGGTACTCTTTCTTATTTTTCCTCTGCAGGAAACAAACTGGATCAGTGATAACAATTCATCGTCTACAGGGCGATGTAAATGCTTTGAACTCAGTCAAGACTGGAAAGTGTTCACTGAGCAGCTCCAGCCCAGATATATCAACATATCGATACTCCATTTTCGGTCTAATCTGGCCCTGGCAAAGATAGAGTATGACAGTCGGAGTTAGTGAAATGTCCGGCGATAATATAACTTCTCTCCTTAAGATCTTTTGTAACCCGTATTTGCTAACTATTTTTTTCGTATCCGAAACAGAAAGACACGTAAACCCTTTCGTGGCAGAGCGGCCAGAAAGCTAGTGGTTCCCACTATATAAAGGTATACAGGTTCGAAATTTCCCTAAGAACTTGTTCCCATTATTAAATTCTCTCTCTCTCTCTAAAAAAAAAAAATGAAAACGAGGCCGATAAACGTCAATAATTGTGCATAAAAAAATAGAAATTTCTAATCAAATACGTGTATCCACTAAATATAAGGTTCATATTTCGGGGGGACTTTATCAAGGCAATGTTTGGTTTGGTTTGATTTGGTTTGTTTTACGGTATATCAACCTCAATGGGTCATTTAATGCCGACAACTTTTTTTCCTGGTAATATTTTTGTTTTGTCAAAAATCTGTTTCTGGTATTATTTTCTTCCTCAAAAATGTATAGCTGGTAATATAATTTCAAAAAACATATAGCTGGTAATATTTTTTTTGAAAAACGTATTGCTGGTAAAAAATTTTTTCAAAAACGTATTGCTGGTAATAGTTTTTCTTCTTCAAAAATTTATTTCTGGTAATAATTTTTTTACAAAGTATTTCTGGTATTAAAACCTATTTTTACACTTTCATAATGCTTTTTACTTCAGTTTCGGGGGCTAACTATTTGCCCATAGCTGAAACCCTAACAGGTGCTACCACCCTGGGTCAGGTGAACCTGGGAACACCAGCAATTAAGAGGTGGTTCCACGCTCCTCAAACCTCCTGATCGAAGCCATGCTGTTGGACGTAATTTATCGTCTTACACTGGACGCGGATGAAGTCTATCGTCATACCCAGGACGGTTCAAGGCAATGTAGTATTTATTTTGTTGCATGTGTTTATATACAAAAGCCAGGATGTTATTGGTTTATCAAGAATTAAATTTGAGAACGTTCATGAATGTTCCAAAGTGAATATTTAAATCCATAATATCATGTTTGTGACGATGTACAGTACATACCTCCATCCCCAAACATTATAATCTGATCACAACTTAAACAATATTCATTTTTAAAAAAATATTGAATATTACTCGCTTATATTTTTTTTTATTTTTTGCTACATTTAGAATGATGACACTTTGTGTTCTCCACGTATTTTGATTGAGTTTTCAACCACCTGATACATTCTCAAATTTTAAAAACCTCAATAAATCAATGACATCTTCGCTTTTGTATATAAAAACGTCCAACAAAATAAATTCTTTACAAAGTCCCTTCGAGGACAAAACGCATCGGATAAGAATAGTTTTTCTCTTGTCTCTTTTTATTCATATATATATATATATATATATATATATATATATATACTATAGTTCAAAATAGTTCAAAAAAAGAAGCCACCCCAAATTAGCATGGCATGAACTTGGCAGAAGAGTGAAAGAAAATGAAAAATAGCTCTTAACAAACTTATAATTTGAGAAACTTTCGCAAAGAATTCCAAAAATTTGTGCTGCAGTAATCAAGGCTAAAGGAGGATATTGTGACGAGAGCAAAATCTAATCATAAAATGTTTTTTTCCTTCTAAAAAATACTCGTGTCTCACTTTGTTAACCATGTGTTGTAGAGTAGTTTTCACAGTGGAGGCTTGTATTTCAATAAGTCGGTCCTAAAAAGGGTCCGACGTACAAAACGTTAGGAAATTGCAATAATAATTAATGACGCAGCAATCTAGTTGTGATGGTTGATACTTCAATGTCCGACATCGACTGACTCACTCAACTCCACTGAGCCCAACTGGCGACCGCTACTACTATTACTACTACTACTTATTATGTGTGGGAGAGTCTATTAATAATAGAATAGGTGCGTTCAGGTATAACACCATGTATAATAATCTCTTATTTAAAATACAAAATCATTACTTATTAATGTAGTAATATAAAGGGCCAATGTAAAAACTAGTAAACTTTAAACTGTAATATATATATATAAAATCAGGGAGGATACCATATTTTTAATTTTAGTTTGAGCACAATGAGAATGTGACTCAAAGAAAAAAGGCCACTTGACTCCTGAAGGCTTTCCTGCATATATGTTAGACGAATGACTTGTATATATTCTTCGATTTCCTTATGCACTCACATGGAAATCTTTAGATCTGCTGATGATCCGCATACATTGTCACAAATCTGGCACTCGTTACTTGAAAGTTATTGTGGATAGATAAAAGCTTGGAATTGCATAGCAAAATGAGATCTTAAATTACTAGCAAGTCCTTCTTTGTGTACCACAGATGTTGCATATATGTTCAACCTGAATATTATCTGGGACTGAGGCCATGTCCTGATTTCTAAGAGCATGTTCCAAGATTCAACCTCTTTTCTTCGAACGCCTTATAACCATCATTCACCATTTTCCTATGAACCTATCGATATGTTGTCTCTATTTCCCTGCTATCCACATCAATACCAAGAATTTTATACTGATTTTAACAA